AGATACACCAAGACAAAATGGAGTTAAGCAATTTGCTCAAATATCAGAGTCTTATGTTTAACTGGGGCCTTATGTAATGATTTATCCTTTAGACATTTTTTTCCTCAGACCATTGGTTTTCAAATTAATGAATTCAACAGTTACATTGCTAGATATGTGCTGGATTGTAGGCAAAAATAGAAATAGCCCTGGCCCTCATTGAATGAGGACTAATGGGAATCAGAACTCTTTGAGCTAGTCCATCTTTGGGGTGCCTATCTTTGGGATGTTGGCTGGTTTCACCCTTCCCTTTCTTTTCCCCCATAAGTTTATACCAATTATCATAGCTTTCAATAGTTAAAATAAATCATCATCACCTTGGTTAAGGGGTGTTAGTTATGGATGAATTCACCTCGTCTCTTGTCCAATTCTTAAGACCGATGGGGAGAGGTCAGGTGAGGAGGGCAGGCAATTTGGAGAAAATGGAAAACCTAAATTCTTGTCTGCTTTAGGATTATTACAGCAAAGTTCTGAAAAAAACTTGGTGGTAACAGGCTGGAATTTTAAGCTCTATGAAGGGTCAGATTCTAAACTCTTTGTGTTGTAGCTTCATAGTGACTCTGAGAATTCAGGCACCAAACTTGAACCATGTAGCAACATAAGGAATGAGATGTTAAGGGAAATCTTGGAGGAATTATTGAATGAAAAATTTTAGAGTCCTTATTTAGGATCATTACTAGCTTGCCAAGATATTCTACTTTATGTATTTTATGTGCTAGGGATTAAACTGGGGCTTTCACACGGAACTATATTCCTAACCCTTCTTATTGACTGATTGATTGGTTGGTTGCTTGACTGACAATAGTTGGTAAACTTCACAAGCACGGTTTGAATTTGTGATCCTCCTGTTTTAGCTTCCCAGGTTGCTGGGATTATAGGTATGTGCCACCAGCTTCAAAGTATTTTGCAGTGAACTAAGTTTTATTATTGAACAGTTTGGACTAGTCTATATAGTGTGATTACTTTTGCATAATGTTCCTCTAATTTTTCATATTTAATCCTAAATATCTAATACTACTCATGGCATGGGGCCCTGTTTCTGAATTTAATAAGTTATAGTTTTGCTTGCTCAGGTACATATATAGCTTTTTCTGGGGGGGGGTTTGCTTTTGAGACAGGGTCTCACTTTGTAGTGCAAGCTAGCTTTAAACTCATTGTGATCTTCCTGCTCAGCCTCCTGCGTGCTGGGATTACAGGAGTGTACCACCACATCTGGCTGCAGTACAGTTCTTTATTGACTATAGGTCCTTATGTTACAAGGCATCTAGTGGTGCTTTGGACTCCTCCTAGAGATTCTTTCCAGGATTTTGTGGTCCTGAACAAAGAATCGGTCAAGCAAAATGTAGTGATGTTTTACATTTGTTAAAAGTAGGAAATGAAGTCTTCTCTGCAGAGTGAGTGCAGGCCAAGCGAAGTAGGAAAAGAAGTACACTCTGCAGGGTGACAGTAGGCCACTGAAAGAGCTGACAGTGGCCATGAAATTAATGACTGCTGTCTTTTGTACCTCTTATTCCTCAGGCTGAGGTCAGCAACCCGCTTGATCTTAAAGATAGCATTTTCTGATTGGTCCCAAATGCATAGCTGGGGAACTGTTGCTGTGTGCAGTATTCTGGACCTCCGAGATTGACAGGTTACCCATTTACTCAGCTGGCTGACCATGCCCTAATTTCCTGCCTCACTTGTACATGTAGTATTTCAAAAATATGTGATTAAGGAGCAAGCATAAAGAATTCCAGTTAGCATGTTGTTGATCAGATGACGAGGAGCAATGATGAACAGTTTTATCTTTTTTAAATTTTAAAGAAAAAGTGCTTCATGAGTTACATTTTCTTCTATGAACAATTCTGCTCTCTGCTTTATGTCTAGAAAAACAGATGACAGCTAATTATTTCTAGCAAGCAGCTCATCTTCTTGACACATAGATCTGAACTGCCTAATTAGATTTTTATCTCCCTTCTCAGATAGTGCTTTGTTTTAAAGTCTGTAGGAATATCAGAAAGGTGTTTAATTTTTAATTACTGAAAATATATAATAAAATAAAGTCTAAATTATATAATTAAGTACCAGGTAAAGGAATAATTTTACTCTAATCATATTCTAGAGTAATTCATTTGATATTATACCAGCCACTTGGAACATTTTTAATGTACTTACTATAATTTTGACCTAAATTCTTCTAAAATTTGAGTTTTATAAGTATTTTTATTTTGTTCATTTATTTTATTTATTAAAGTGAATTAAAAGCACACTATTTTGTCAATCCTGGATTATTTTACATGAGTAAGATTAATATCAAGCCTCAGGGTATTATGATATAAAATTACATCATTCACTATGTGGATATTTTCATTATTTTATTACTTAAAATAGAAGGCACTGTTGAACATCATTGAATAGCTTATAAATGTTTAAATGTCACTTTGTTGATGATGGTTGTTAAATGATTTTATTCTAATTCACTTTCTTTATTGACAAGATATCCAGAAGAAATGGCATATTAGAAAGCAATAATAGTATATTTTCCTATGTCCTAGAGAAGAAACATGAAAAAATAAAATTCAGGTGAAAGCTATAAGTTAAAAGCAGAAAATTCTCAGTGCTTAGATTTTTTTTCTTTGAGTATCTTTAATCTGGTCCAGAAATTTTGTTTTAGAAATTAACCAAACCTGGTGAACATTGGCTTAACCTGAAATTTCTTTGTACCTAAAACTTTAAATTTAAGACTTGTATAAGTAAGAGTTTAAGTGACATTTGCTTTCAAAGAAATTTTAAAAGACCTGAGGCTCAACCACACTCTGATCAATTAGGCTAGAATGCCAAAGGTTGGAATTTAGGCCATGGCATTTTATTTTAAGCCACAAGGTGATTTCTATGCGAAGACAGGTGTGAGAACTGTTGATTGGAATGCTAACTTCCAAATTCTTACAACAGTGCTTTTCATCGCATCTTCTGGGCTTCTCCTCCATATTTTTCTGTCTTTGTCCCTTGGGCCCCTTGAAGAGTGATTATTGTTTCTATATAAAGTCGATTTGGCCCACTCACTGTAGATATTAGCGACTGCATGTGCTTGTCATGTCTTTCTTCTCTTTTTCTGTGGTATTGGGCACCGAATTTAGGGTTTCTGTACAGAGCTACATTTTTTTTTTTTAACTTTTCAGATGGAATTTCGCTAATAGCTAAATTCCCCAGACTGGGTTCAAAATTCTGATCTTTTTGCTTTAGCTTCCCAAAGTGCTAGGATTATAGGGATGTTCCACCATGCATCCGTTTTTTAAAAAACAACAACAAAAAATCTTCTCAGCTGGATTACTTTAACTTGTGTTTTTCTGCTTACTACTTTTTGCTCTTTCCACTCCGCCGCAGAAACAACAGCTTTGACGTCCTAGAGCACCCAAAATTCTAAAATGTGCATGGAAACCTCTGAAATAGTTACATTTCGTGCAAGAAGTAACCAATTTGAAGATAATATGTAATACAACAAGCACTGTCAATTTCCTATCACCTTGTCTGAAATTCTGTATTGCTTTTATTGTTTTTGTATTGTTTTGTAAATGTCTCTGTGTTTGTTAATATGTTTTCATTCTTTTATTTTTAAAATAAAAAAAGAAAAAAAGCAAATTCCATATTGGCAATATTATCTGAAGGACAAGCAACAGAGGTATCAATCTTAACCCCCTGACTAATAGCTCCATAAATTTATAATCTGTCATTTCTTTAGCAATAAGACTACTTTATTATAAAATTCAAAGTTCATTCAAACATGGCGGTATATATCTGTAATCCTGGAACTTGGGAGGCTGAGGCAAGAACATCTCAAGTCTGAGGTCAGCCTGGGTAAACAGAGTTCAAGGTCACACAGCAAGACTGAAAAACTGCAACAACAACAACAACAAAACACACAAACAACCAAATAAACAAATTAAAAAGCAAATCAATTTCTTGGAAGACAATTTTCCTGGGGGGAGTGGATTTTATTTTAGTTTCTCTTTTTTATTAGAACATATTTGAAATATGTAATAACTACATTAGCTGGGGGTGGTAGTACATACCTGTACTCCTAGCTCTAGGGAGGCTGAAGCAGGAGCACTGCTGGAAGTTTGAAGCCAGCCTGGGCTACATAGTGAGTTCAGGTCAGTATTAACTATATAGCAAGAGCCTGTCTCCAAAATAATAATAAACTATAATAATAATGGCATTCCCCAGCACTAGCTCTACCTCACACCACCAGGCATCAGATTCCAATAAGGAATGGGCAACCCAGATCACTCCCATTGTTACTGGTGTTTGGGGTCCTACAGACTTTTCCCAGGGACTTTTTCCAGGTTCTTGGTGTCCTGAACAAAGACCTGGCAAGACACACAAGAAAGGTAGCTAAGATTTGCCCTCATTACAGGTAGGAAAAGAAGCATACTTTGCAGAGTAACAGCAGGCCACTGAGAGAGCCCACAGTGGCCATGAAGTTAATGATGGGGGTCTTTTTGTAGCTCTTATTCCTCAGCCTGCCATTAGATCTAGGCCATGCAATCAAAAGCTTGGTGGATTTTGTGACAGATGTAAATGAATTGAAGGGTCAGGTCAGGGTTTGGGAGCTGTGTTCTGTGCACATGTCTTGGATCTCAGTGATTGAACCTCCACTTGTCCTTCCTGCTCGCCCCACACTAATCTGTTTCACCATGCCCGCTTCACAGTGGGGTTTGCACTCTGTTATGGTTGATATATTGTGTCAACTTGGAGAGTCTAGAGGTTTGGCTAAGTGACTCAGCAGTTCTACATCCTGTGGTGCAAAGGACATACCCTTCCTGCTCTAGGAGGTTATTCATTGTATCAGTGTGAGTAGTTTAGAAGGTTAACAATGTAAGTGCCGCCCCCTGGGTGGGGGTAGCCTTCTTACAATATAAGGGAGAAAAAGAGGCTGCTTGCTTCCGTTCCCCCTTTGCTCTTGTTGCTTTGTTATCTTCTGCCTCGGAGCCAACCAAGTATAGACTGAAACCTCCACAAACCGTAAGCTAAATAAACCTTTCCTTCCTTCATTTTGGGTGTCGGGTATTTTGTCTCAGCAACAAGAGAAAAATAACCAAGACACACTCCTATGAGAATCTGTTGCTTCAGCTGATCTGACAGGAGCTCAGGTGATAATTTGAGCAACAGGGAGCAGCGGTAAATACAGATGAAACTTCTCTTGTTCTGGATTGCTCACCCCTTTTGTGCATCCCTGTTCTCTAAAACTTACCTTAAGGGTTTTTCTTCTCAATTTGAGAGGAGTTTCTTTTAATTGACCACATTGAAAATACCATGGAAACTATTTTAGATCATCTTTCTAATAAGCCCGTTGATCTTGTTCTCTCTGTTGCCAGCCTTTCATGTTTTTGATCAGTTTTCTGATCACTTCATCTATCCTCCTTGACTCCTTTCTCTATTCTTTTTTCTCTGCCCCCAGTCACTTGCTTAGGTAACGAATCACCAACTTCCATCTGTGTCATCATTTCCACCTGCTTAAGCCTGCAAGCATCTCTCCCTCATCGAACAACTGCCCTTGTTTAGTATTTATGCTTTGGTTTCTATAAATATTTGGGGATAGAAGAGGTGCCAGTGTGGTCTGATGGAATCTGACTGGAGCAGAGAGGGTCAGGTAGCGCCTTGACTGGCTGCCATGAAATCTGTCCTCCACCGAAGGTCAAAGACACGCATTAGTTGTTGTCCATAGCTAAAGAAGTCTTGAGGGAATGAGTAGCTAGCTCTGTATAAAATCCAACAGAACTTAAGTGGGCACCAGAACACCAACTTCATTATTTATTACAATGTACCGAAACTACTGCTATAAGAATGGAGAGGTTTAAAAACCTACATAGTCAGCTCATGTTCTTCCTGTTGTCCATCTACAGGAGAAACCTAGTCTTTGGGAGAGACTAAAGTGAAAATAAGCATCCATGCAGATCAGACAATGTAAATAAGTGAAGTCAACTAGGAGCGAAATCTGAAAACTTGAAAAGTCAGGTCTTGTTTAGGATTTGCTCAGATATTTCAGTCCGGGAAATTATTGCCTCAGTTTTGTCAGGCAACTGATTTTTCAGTAAGAGTCACTAATCTGAATTTTACATAAATCACTGACTTGTGGCTACAATTATTTTAAACATCAAAACAATGATAATAATCCATTGCATACATTTATGTGCAATGATGCATTGATACGGATACCTAAACAAAATCACAGGAGAGAAGGGAAAGGTCTTGGTCATAATAGAAATAATAGTAAAGAAATATCAGACAAACTCAAACTGAGGGTTATTCTATGTATCAAATGCTGTGTACTACTCAAATTTCACTGCCACTTGAGCTCGAAGAATTGTTCCAGATAAAAAGAGGTTAAAGAGACATGGCAATATGAGTGCTCAAATGGGAATTTTTATTGTTTTAAGGACATTACTAGTCATATGTGGTGGTGCATCCCTGGAATCCCAGCACTCTGGGAAGCTGAGGCAGGAGGATTGCAAGTTTGAACCCAGCCTGGGTAGTTTAGTGACTTAGTGAGACCCGATCTTAAAATAAAAAATAAAAAAAGGACTGGGGATGTAGTTCAGTGTGAAAGTCCTAGGTTCGATTCCCAGGACAAAACAAACATCTGTAGAACAGGTGATAGCACTGAACCAATGCTAATCTCTTCATTTTGATAATTTCACTGAGGCTAAGCAAAACATACACACTGAAGTATTTAAAGGTAAGGAGGCATTATGCCTGAAATTTATGATCAAATAGTCCGTAACAAACAGAACGAGAGGATATAGCAAATGTAAAATACCAACATGTTAGCATTTGAATGAGAAGTATACAGGAATTCTTTGTACTATGCTTCTTGCAGCTTTTTGTCTGCCTGAAATTATATCAAAACGTACATTGGGAAATAATCTCAAGTTTGAATCAACGTTCTCTGCAGAGAGGTTACGTCTCACAGAATTTTCAGTCTTTCAGGTGGGCCTCCTCATGGCGGGGGACAGGACGCACAAAGACCTGGTAGCTGTTTTCTTCTCGTTTGTGTCTTTAGACATATAAATAAGTTGTTGGTGCCACTGTTTTTCATATTGAGAGAGCTCAGCTAGAGTTGAACTCTGTTCACATGATTAAAAGAAACTCTCATCTTCCTAAGTTATTGTTTAGTGCTATGGCGGATGCCTTTAGGAATTACTTCCATCTCTCAGAGCTAATTTCACAGTTTAGATTTGTGAGGGCAATTCTGTTTACCACATTTAGGGTATGGCTTCTAACTATCAACAGTATCTTTATTCTTCTCCTGGATAAATTCATGGCAGGCCCAACCATAATTAAACTGCTTTGATATCTAACTCTGAGCTCTACGCAAGCCTAAAACCTTCATTTCTTGGTTTCTTTGTCCCTAGCCTAGTCCTATATGCAGGGCTTTTCCTTAAGTCACATTTATTATAGTCATGTTAGTAATTACACATTACCCTAAAAGCAAATGCTTTTAGTGACACACTAATGTACAATTCAGCAAGTGCTCTTGAATTATAATGAACATTTCCATTTTAATGAGGTTTGCCTGAATTGCTACAGTCTCTGCAATTTATCTAAAATGGTATAGTACCTGCATTAGCGATCCAGCCATGCCTCTGTTAGGGATCTGTGGGAGAGGGCTTATTTCCACCTTCATTTCTCCCCATAGAAGGCAAAAATTGCTGGATAATCCACTTTAATAACAGAGGAAGCAGCGAATTGATTTTTTGACAGGACTGCTGGGGAAAGTGACGAGGAGTGGGTGGAACTAACTGAGCAAAATGAGAACTAAAAGATAATAGTCCAGGATAAGCCGTGATCTTGATAGTAAGGTTTGGATATAAATTAAAATAATAGAAACTATTCTATAAAATGAAATGTAGCACAGGGAAAAAAATCACCATGTGCAACATAGGACTTGAATCTAAGGATTTTGATGGGTATTTACTTTCAAATTAGAAAATTATTGAAACATGTAGATGGTAAAGAGAAGGAAAGAGAACAGGTGAGGAAGCTTTGATGTGGTTGTGAGTAGAGTTGCGAGGACAGGTCAAGAACAGCAGCAGAGAAATGAGGGAGGGGAGGCGGGGGAGGGGAGGAAAGTGGGGGAAAAGCTCTGTAACAACTGGAGTTTCTGAGAAACCGGTGGTCTGAAACAACTTCCAAATTTGATATGAGCAATAGTTACCAATGAGAAGCTTAAAGCCTACAACTAGCAGATATTTAAAATTGACTTAATCATGAAAGAGCTAAGAAAAAGAGAAGTGGGACATGAATCTTCCACTTCTGGTAAGGAGGAGTCTGCCTGTTTTCTCTTTTTCTGGTGAGAAGGAAAGCTATTTCTTACGGTCTTTTTAAAGAAATACCTGAGCAATGGCTCTGTTAGGAAGATGGAAAAACAAGTTGAATGTCTCTAGCCAAGTCCAAGCAGAATTCTCTTCACTTTTGCTCTAGGAAAATAGTGATTCTTCCGTTTCTGCAGAGACCCTTGCTCAGCAGCTGATGGCAGTTTTAAGAAGGCTGCTTATCACTAGTACTACTGCTTTGGAAGTCAGGTCTGGCTTCAGATTTGGGCTTTGGTTTTATCAGCCCATTTCTTTGACTTCCTTCCCACTATCAAACTTACAAACAAACCTACATGTGTGCCTCCTTTTCTACTTTTTGCACTTTATTTATTTTTTTTGTGCTGGGGATTGAAACCAATACCTCATGAATGCTAAACATACAGTCTATTATTATTAAGCTATACACCCAGCCCCTATTTTCCCCACTTTAATAAAGAGGCAGTGTTCTTATAGTAAATGCGATTCTCTGCATTAAAGTTATGAACCACACATACTCTCACTTTCTTTGGGAATCCACAGTGTTTTCCTTTCAGTACTGTCTATCATACATGACACTCCCCTCTACTGTATCAGTTCTGTCAGCATAGGAATAGGGTTTCATATTCGTATGTTGAAAAAGCCCTCACTGGCATAGATATCTCTTCCTGTTTCTTTGCTCCATTCCATAATTGTTACTTCTGTCATCTCACCTCTCGTGCACTCATCTCCCTCCAATTCATGATCCACAGTCACTTCCTAAAAATATACCGTCACATTTATTACTGACTAGCAGGGACTTAAAGCCAATAGCAGACCCTCTGTTTTCATTTTTCTCAATCTCATCAGCTTTAGCTATAATTTCTCAGCTTTTATATCTTGACAGATTCCTTTCCTGGTCATACTGATGCCATGTTTCCCTTGTCTTCTGATCACCTTGGATGATTTTCTCAGCCTTTTCCCACCTTCTCATTCTATACACAAAGGCTGAAGTTCTTTAGTGCCTGGATTCTCTTCTTTTCCCTTCCTCTTGTTACCTATTGTACTCTTCCCAGTTTATCTCATCCATGCACATAACTTTCAATATCATCTTTATGCTACTGAGACTGACTTATATCTGTAGCTCAAGGTTCTCTATTCACCTCTAGACTCAAAAATTCAGTTCAGTATTTACTGTTTCTAACAATTATCCAAAGAGTTTTTTTTTTTTTTTTTTTTTTTTCCTTTCTTCTTCCTGGAGGTTGAACCCCAGGGGGTACTAAGCTATAACTTCAGCCCTTTTATTTTGAAACAATTTCATTAAATTGTCCTGGCTGGCCTCAAACTCACAATCCTCCCACCTTAGCCTCCTGAGTAGCTGGAATTATAGGCATGTACCACTACACTCGGTTCAAAAAGAAATTCTTTCTCTAGAGAACTTTGACTAATACAATATATTACATGTATGTGCCAATTCCCTAAAATGAACATCCCTATTCTGTATTACCTATTTTATGTATCCACCAATTAGAAAGAATGAAGAATTCTGAAAAGCAAGATGAATTCTTCATTCATCTCAACATGTCCCTTGCCTCAAGAAGAAAATCTCTCCCTTCCAATGAGTAGATTCACTCTCTGCCTAGCAGCTCAAATAAAAATAAGCTCGTTTCATCCTGCATTCCTTTCATCCCCAGA